GAGTTTTTTAAACTTACAAGGATATCCGTGCAACAATTTGATCACATGATCTTTTAAAATTAAAGTTAAAAAAAAGAAGTAACAGAGAATCTTTGCCAACGGAGATACGTATTGCAGTGACTTTGAGGTTAGTTTAATCATTATATTCTGTTGCAAATATTGATATATTTTATTTATATTTTATTGTATAAAAATAAAATTTTATCATAAATTAAAATTTATTTTTAGCTTTCTTACTCATGGAGACAGTATTGATCACTTGTTCACATTTTCAGATAGGAAGATCGACTGTATAATATTATTCCTGAAGTGTGTAATGCAATATGGGAAGTGTTACAAGAAACATATCTTTGATGTCCACAAGAAGAGAATGAATGGCTAAAAATAGCAGATGACTTCAATAATATGTGGGATTTCTCAAATTATATCGAGGCAATTGATGGGAAGCGATTTTCAAAGTTTCGGAAATGCTTTTCCACACATCCTTTTTTTCCTAATACTTTGAAATCTACATTACATTTATCATATAAACAATAATTTTCGTGCACAAAATCAATAATTATTTCATCTAGATTTGTATATTCCATGATGAAAATAAGAGGTTATATTGTATATAATAGTCGTACAATCGAAAGTCGGATATCGGAAAAGATGAGAGTTGACCAACTCTTGTTACGATAACGACAACCGACTTCCGACAGCTTTATACGACAGCCGAGAACCGAGTGTGCATGCGTCCGACATCCGACGCCGACATACGACGCATTGTAGAACAGGCCTTAGTGTCACATAGTGTCCGATATACGAACGTATGATATCCAATAAAAAAACATCTTTCCAATAAAGGATTGAAGTCTCTATGAGAAAGATTATTCATCACTTCAATATTGGGTGTTTACATGTAGTAATCGGATTTTCAATCGGATTAATGATGTAAATTCTCTAGAAAGAAAGTTCCCTAGGCTAATCGGTTCCCTTACAAAATCGTGTCCGTGAGGGACGGATCGGATTAGCGGATGCAGAGGAACATTGCGTATATACTTCCACATATTATAAAGTTGTGGTGAAAGGGCCAATAGGACCAGGCCTGAAAACCATTGAGAGAGAGAGAGAGAGAGAGAGAGGGAGAGGGAGAGAGAGAGAGAGAGAGAGTGCGTACATACTTACGTCTCTTAAGAAATGAATATTAAAAAATAAATAGAAAAGTAAATATGTGCATTGTTATTTTCATTATAATTAACGTATATTCTTTTGCAGATGTACTACTGTGTCCAAAAAGTAAGGTGACATTGCATTTATTTCGAAAATTCTTTATTTATTCTTGCAAATCAATTTCGTCCCCTTCAAAGTAATCCCCCCCTGATATAATACACTTATTCCAACGGCTTTTCCAATCTTCGAAACAGTTGTAATAATCGATTTCAGGAATGGCCTTTAGCTCCTTCTTCGCAGCGGCT